ATGGTGGCCAGAGGGGCCCAGGCGTGGGCTCCCTTGCCCCTGGGGTGTACAGACGCCGACAGGCTGCAAGCGCTGCTGCTGCTGCTGCACTGTCTCGACAGCAGCAGCAGCAGCAGCAGCAGCAACAGCAGCAGCAGCAGCAGCAGCAGCAGCAAGCGGCGCGAAAAGGCATGGGCAGTGCTTCAGGCCGCAGCGCAGGAGTTCGGCTGCCCAGAAGTTGTCACTATGAGCAGCAGCAGCAGCAGCAGCAGCAGCAGCAGCAGCAACGGATATGACCACAGCAGCAGCAGCAGCGCCCCTGGAAGCAGCAGCAAAAGCTGCAGCAGCCGCAGCAGCAACTGGGCACGCGACAAGATAGTGATTGCTGCTGCTGAGCATGCAGCAGCAACGGGGTCTCCTGCTGCTGCGCTGCAGCTGCTGCAGCAGGTAGCAGCAGGGTCTCCAATGCGTGCTGCAGCACAGCTTGCTGCTGCTGCAGTGCAGCTTTTGCTGCTGGAAGACAACATTGCAGCAATCCGCTGCCTCCGCCGTGCTGCTGCTGCTCCTTGCTGCTGCGCTGCAGCACTTTGCAAAGCTGGGGAGCTGCTGCTGCTGCTGAGGAGGCCCCAAGATGCTGCTGCTGCTTTTCAAAGGGCCTCTGAGCTGCTGCCAGACAACAGACACATAGCCTGCCAACTCAGTGAGCTGCAGCAGCAGCAGCAGCAGCAGCAGCAGCAGCAGCAGCAGCAGCAGCAGCAGCAGCAGCAGCACCAATACCGCTAACAGCTGCAGCTGCAGCTCTTAACCTCTACACTTAAACAAAACAGTGAAGCAGCAGCTTCAATTGCTGCTGCTGTTTGTGCTGCTGTGCTGCTGCTGCTGCTGCTGCTGCTGCTGCTGCTGCTGCTGCAGTTGTGAGCCTTACTGCAGCTCACGAGTTTGAAGCTGCAGCAAAGCGCGCAACGAGCGAGCTGCAGCAGCGGCCAGGAGACTGGCAGTTGCTGCTGCTGCTGCTGCAGCTGCTGCAGAAGCTGGGCCGGCCCCGCGCTGCTGCTGCTGCTGCTGCTTGCCTGGACTCCCCAGGTGTCTTGGCAGCAGCAGACACTTCAGAGCTGCTGCTGAAGCTGAAGGCCCTTTTAGTTAAAGCAGCATGTTTGGAGACAGCAGCAGCACAGCCGCAGCTGCTGCTCGAGGACCACTGCAGCAGCAGCGGCAGAGCAGCCGCCGAGGGGTCAGCTGCTGCTGCTGCTGCTGCTGCTGCTGCTGCAGATGCAGGTTCTGCTGTTGCTGCTGCTGCTGCTGCTGGAGTTGCTGTGTCTTTCTGTTCGCTGCTGCAGCTGCTCTTGCTGCTGCTGCTGCTCTTCTCGCTTGCTGCTGCTTCTGCTCCTCTCCCTTGCTGCTGCTGCTGCTGCTGCTGCTCTTGCTACCTGCTGCTGCTCCTGCTGTCTCCTCTTGCTGCTGCTGCCTTTGCTCACACTTTTTGCTGCAGCTCAAACAGCAAGGGCTGTCTCTACGCTTGGGCCGCTGCGCACGCTGCTGCTGCTGCTGTTGCTGCTGCTGCTCTTCGTGCTCTTGCTGCTGCTGTTGCTGCCGCTGCCGCTTCTGCTTTTTCTGCTGCTGCTGCTGCTGCTGCTGCTGCTGCTGCTGTGGCCAGCTACGCATGCATGCAGCTGCTGCATGCAGGGCCATAATACTGCTGCGGCGAGTGCAGCAAAAGTTGATTTCAATGCTCTCCGAAGCAGCAAGCACGCCGGGGCCTGCAGCAGCAGCAGAAGCAGCAGCAGCAGCAGAAGCAGCAGGAGCAGCAGCAGCAGCAGCAACAGCTGCTGCCCCTAGCTGCTGCCCGCAGCTGCCAGCCGCCTTTGTCCGCAGCTTGAGCATAATCAGCAGCAGCAGCCTGAGCAGCAGCGCAAGCAGCAGCAGCAGCAGCAGCAGCAGCAGCAGCAGCAGCAGCAAGCGCGAGCTGCTGTGCGCGGCCTCGAAGCAGCTGGCGCGGCTGCTGTGGCAGCAGCAGCAAGATGCTGTTGCTGCTGCTGCTGTCTGCAGAGAATGCATGCAGTTTGCTGCAGCAGACACGGAGCTGCATGCGCTGCTGTGTCGGCTGTCTCTACAGCTCGGCCGCATGCAGGAGGCCGAAGAGGCCCTTAGGACCATCAGCAGCAGCAGCAGCAGCAGCAGCAGCAGCAGCAGCAGCAGCAGCAGCAGCACAGGTCCGTGGGTCTCTTTCTGCTTCATTTGGGCTCCTCTTTGTTCTTGCTGCCGCTGCTGCACTTGCTGCTGCTGCTGCTGCACTTGCTGCTGCTGCTGCATTTGCTGCTGCTGCTGCTGCGTTTGCTGCGCTTGCTGTTGCTGTCGCTGCGTTTGCTGCTGCCGCACTTGCTGTTGCTGCTGTTGCTGCTGCAGCTGCGGCTGCTGCTGCTGCTGCTTTGGCCGTGCCTCCTGTCCCTGCAACTCTTTCTTTCTGCTGCTGCCGCTGCTGCTGCTGCTGCTGCTGCTGCTGCTGCTGCTGCTGCTGCAGTTGCTGAGCTGCAGGTGCATCTAATAGCTGCTGCGCTGCAGCGCGGGCCCCACAGCCTGCAGGACTTGGGGCTGCATGCAGTGCGGCTGGCGCAGCAGCAAAGTGTCTCCTTTGCTGCAGTTGAGGGGGCTTTGCTGCTGCTGCGGCAGCGGGGGCTGCTGCAGCAGTGCGAAGAGGTTTGCTTCCAGCTCAAGCAGCAGCAGCAGCAGCAGCAGCAGCAGCAGCAGCAGCAGCAGCAGCAGCAGGGGGGGCACAGCAGCAGCAAGGCGATGTTCGCAGCGTACTGCGAAGGGCTCGTCTCCAAGTAAGAAAAAGCAGTCGAGGGTTTAGGGTTTGCAAACCCTAAACCCTCGATTAGTTCTTTTGCCGCTTTTACCGCCCCCAAAGAACAGAAACCTTCAGGGTTTAGGGTTTAGCGTTTAGGGTTTAGGGTTTAGGGTTTAGGGTTTAGGGTTTAGGGTTTAGGGTTCGAGGGTTTAGGGTTTGCAAACCCTAAACCCTCGATTAGTTCTTTTGCCGCTTTTACCGCCCCCAAAGAACAGAAACCTTCAG